TGGAGGAAGAGTGAGGCCAGGCACTCAGGCCTGGAGGGCACACTGTCTGCGCTGTTTCCGGTCCAGGGCTTCTCACTGCTTCCCGCTGCTTTTAAGGGAAAGCTGACAATGTTTAGCCAGGATGTTTAGCCAGAGCCACAAGATGGGCCTTCCTTTGTCTTTTTCCTTCAGGTCAGTGTGCAGCTCCCTTTGCCCCCATTTCCACGGGAGAGAGGAAGAGGGAGGGAGGAGAAGACTGGTCCTTCTGTGTTTGGCGTCAGGTGCCAGCTCCCCCCCACCCCTGCCTCCTTTAGTGCTTGGTGTCCTCAGGTCAGAGGAGAGAGTGTGGGGACTCCAGGCAGAGGTGCATGCAGAGGGCATCACCCAATCTCCCAGGTTGCGCTTCAGCAGGAGGAATTACTGCATACCAGGGAAGGCTGACAGGCAAGTTCTCCAAGAGTGGAGCTTTTCATGATGCAATTTCCATTCCCCGGTTGTTGGTGCTACTGGGAGGGAACAAAAGTATATGAGTACATTAGTCACAGGGCCCAGCTGAGGTATTTAAGAAGCAGTGACCTGAGTGAGCAAGGGCTTAAGCCGTTTTCCTGAGTGCCCCGGATTCTGATAGGCCTCTCATCTGGGCAGTATTGCCACCCCATGTGTCTCCTACCTGGATTGAACCCTTAGAGAGACAGTCAGGGCTGTGTTTTTCCCTCCATCTTTCTCTCCAGGAAGTCATGAGAAGGCGAGGCCTTAGCCCTGGAGTGGGAAGCTTCTAGATGTCATGCTATTGGCTCATGCACGCCAAGGCTTGGTCACATTTGTCCCCACTTCAGGAAGCAGTGTGATGACCTTAAGTCAGAAAGAGATGGTTTCCCAGGGTGTCATGTTGCATAGCTGGCTGCCAAGGGGGAGAAGAGGCAGGGGGGATGACCTCTCCACCCAGAGCTTGACTTGCTGTTCCCAAACTTCATGCCCAGGAAGGAGGAGTGGGAATGGACATCAGAAAGTTCCGAGTCCTCTAATCACTAAGAAGTGATTTAGATTTCCCATGTCATCCAGAAAGGTACTGTTCTTTCCCTGGAGTAGTTTGCTCATAGTCACCAGAAAAGATGCTTCTGGTATGTCTAAAAGGGGCAGCACAGATGTTCACCACACACAAGCCTCAGTGGAAATCTGCAGTTGGAAGTAATGCTGGAGAATACTTGGTATGGTAGAAAGTTTTCATGAAATCAGAACTAGGGTATCAGCGAGCTTATTCAAGGTGGGTGTGCCCATGACCAGATGGTTATTGAATGAGTAATGTTTGTAAGGTGGACCTCACATAACTCAATGCATGTCTCCTGAGCCTCCCTAATCAAGACTGAAATTGCCTTTGCTACATTAGTAAGCAAGGTCATTTAAAAGCTTGAGAATTCACATACATTAAAATTTGGACTGTTGTATTTGGGTGGCCTTACAATTAATTTCAGGTAGAATTCAGATTTGAAAAGGAATTTATTTTACAAATACAGTGTGTGCACCTGCAGTGCCTGCCTGAAGTGACTTTGTGGCCATAAATAAGCTCCTCTTCTTTGGTCATGGACCGTCAGGTTAACATTCACAGAGCCAGACCATGCCAGGCACTGTCTGCGGGCACTTCAGGCTGCTGTTAACTATGAAGCACAGACAAATGCATCAGAAATGAAAATGAGAGCAATAGATGCAGAAGTAAAATTTGCACAGGGCCTGGGGAATTGGGACATGTTCCAAAAGAACACGCCCAGTAGCCCAGTATAGAACAGTGGTTCTCAACCTTCCTAATGCCACGGCCCTGTAATACAGTTCCTGTGGGTCGCGACCCACAGGTTGAGAACTGCTGGTGTCAAACTAGCACGCGGCTGCAGGAGGGGTCTTTCTTGGTATGTTCTAAGAGACAGGGCACAGTTCTGTCTGGGGGCCCAGAGAGCCTCGAGAAGGTTTGATTTTTCTTTTTAAAGGCATACAACAGCTGCCATCACGTGCTGAGCCATCAGCAAAGCATGTGGGACAAGGTTGCCGCGACCCTCCATACCATGGTGGGTCCCTGTCTGTGTGTCTCTAGCTGCTTATTGTGGGTCAGGCACTGTGTGAAACCCCCAGTCAGCTTAGAGGAAGTAACTTCCTGGTTGCAAAAGAGTTGGGGTCCAGAGCCTGCCTTGCCCATCCCCATGGCCTGCTCTCCAGGAAGGGGTGGGAAGGTTTGCTGGCTTGTTTTCTAGGGAGCAGCACCTTGGGATTTGTGTTTTAAAAAGACCTGTGGACCCCACAGGCCCGAGTAGCTCCGAGAGACCATGGAGCCGGGTGCTGTGGTGAGCCAAGGCTGAGCGGACACACTGTGTTAGGCCTGGGCTGCTTTCTGGAAAGCTCCGTAATGGGGGTACTGTGGTGGCTGTTGGAGGTGTTGGGCATCCCACCTCAGGGGCATGGCCTTCCCTTAGTTTGCAGCAGCCTGTGCTGTGCTGCAGGAGGGAGGGAGGGAGGCTCTGCTCCAGCCCTGCCCCGCTCTGTCCCGTCCCCGCCCTGTGCAAGCCACTGCTGGCCTTGACTGGCTTCTCCAGGCTTCAGCGCCCTGCCCCTGCTGGGCCTGTGGATTCCCTAGTGATGGACAAAGCGGGTCTGTGTTTCAAGATTCTAGGTCAGTGGGTCTGGAGCTCACTCCCCAGAAGAGCCTGAGGTGGGGCCCCGGGTGGCCTCCCAGGTGATAGGGAGATTTCCTGCACTTGGGGCTGCTGCCCAGTTCTCACTTTGACATAGTGCCTTGCCGATAAGCGTGTACAAAACTCCCTAGTTCTCAGTGAAACTTTCTCACTCCCAGTGAAAAATACCCTTTGATTATTTAAAATTACTTCTTTCCTGGTTCTATTTGCTTTTAAATAATTCTCTTTTTCTTGTTTTATAGGATACAAAATTATGGATAATAATGGAATACCTTGGTGGAGGCTCTGCCCTAGATCTGGTGAGTATCGTGCTGGATGTAAAATGTGCCGAGAGCCTTTTCCTCAGTCACCTTTGGCTTAAGAAAATTCTGTTTGTGCCCATTTCTCTGTTTCCTTCTTTCAAGTTGCATGACAAAGAAACCAGACCATTCTTTAAGTATTTTTTCTTCTTACATATTAATAAAAATTGTTGGCCTACTTTTGAAACCAGTTTTGTTTGTTTGTTTGTTTCATGGGAAACCAATGAATTAATTCACAGAAGCAATGAAGGATTTTGTGCAGAATCATTCTACCTCAGTACAGTTTGTTAGCTTATTTCCCCAAACTTGGTTTTATTGAACTTTTGTAGAGCCCTCACCTCATCCCAGTTTCGTACTTCATATGGTAACGTAACTTCCAAAGCGTGCATGTGGTGTTTTCATTTGGAAGGAAGGGGCAGGGTACGACGTTGAGGTCTAATGCCGTACATCAGAGCAGGGTCGGGACACACTTCTGCTTTTACTGCTCACCAGTGCTCCTGGAGCACTGGAGGTTGAGCTGGATCCCCCTTAAGTGCTATTAGTGGCTGCCAGGCCACACACAAGGTTGCCAGGTAGAGGGTGGCTGTATAGTCCCAATCTGTGAGTTGCCTGTTGTGTAAAATGTGGCTTTCTGTCAGGCTTTGATGGCAGGCTCACAGATGACCGACATGTCTCTCTGTGTGGCTGAAGTTGGCCTTGAAACACAGTCCATGCAGAAACTCTTTGTTATAGACTGCACACAGTGGTGTAGCACTGTCTCCTGGACACCGCTGCTGTGCAGTAGGTCAGCGCTCTTTCCTCACCCCTCCCTGAAAACTGACCTGGAGTGAGTGGTGGTTCCCAGGACAGAGCAAATCTGTCATTTTAGTGCCAGAGTGTGGGTCTTGCCTAAGGGAAGTCACCAGGATGACGGGTCTGTGGTTTTCACTGCTGTCATGGCAAGAGCTGAGGGAAGCCGAGTTTTTTAGTAGTTACAGACTATACAGATTTTAGTCACCAAGGAAAGAAATCCCCCTTAGTAGGAATTTCTTTCTTATAATAATAGTAGCAATTGGTAGTTTGGGGGAAGGTAAATTCTAAAACTGTTATTATAACTTGAAGGCAAATGTATCCAATTCTGAAAATTACATACTGTTACGAATAACTGATCAAAGTGGTGTGAAAAAGGAAGACTTCAAGAAAAAAAGTTAACATGGTATAAACAATTTAAAATGGAGAAAACCTTAGCATAGCTCAGTCCATTTTATGCCTTGCTTTGTTTCCTTCCATAAATATTCATATTACATAGAAAGCTTTTCATATTTTTCCTCTTTTGGGAAATATTGAAGGAATGTGGAGAATTATATCATCTTGAGTAATTAGATTTACTATTATCATAGATGGATTTCATTTTTGTCATAGTAAAGCTGTTTACGAGGACTCCTTCCTAACACAGAGTCCTTTGGAACCAGTGCTCTAAATCAGGCGTCCTCAAACTATGGCCCACAGGCCACATGCAGCCCACCTAGGATATTTATCCAGCCCACTGGGTGTTTTTGCCACCACTGCCTGTCCTGCTTAGCAGCCTACTCATCCCAGGGCCCGCAGTCTGGCCCTCCAGTGGTCTGAGGGACAGTGAACTGGCGCCCTGTTTAAAAAGTTTGAGGACCCCTGCTCTAAATAAATGCTTTAGTGCGTTCACTCTTAATGCTACAGTAATTTATTTGGTGGCAACTTTCTTTGGATTTCTTTGAATTGCAGTCTGAAATTTTAGACGTGTGGTCGGAAGGAAGTGTAGAACTCTCCACTTAAAAAAAAAAAAAAATCCCATGTAGTGTGTTTTTTGGAGTCCTAGCAAAACACCACCCACTTTCTGCAGTGCGCTTGGTGACAAGAAACCGGTGTTCCCTTTTGAATGTCCATGAGAGAATTGAGACCCTTGCAGATGAGCGGTACCAGCCAGCACACAGTCAGCAGGTACCAGTCAGCAATACCCGTGGCCTCCTTTGGCCCCACCAATCCTCGCTCACCCCCACTTCATCGTCCTTTCTTTCATCTTTTACCCTTGCTTGCCCTGAGCTCCTTAAAGAAGAGATCGCACTTTAATCATGGGAGAGGGTAGGCAGTGGTGCCGGCAACAAAGTCTGAGCTGAAGAGAGCTGAAAGTGGGACTCTCCCTTCCCAGTTTACAGACTCAGGGGTGCCACCTAGAGAAGAGAAGTGGCTTTGCCCCAAGGTGAAGATTGGTTGGCCTCATAACCAGCTTGCAAACAACACGGCATGAAAATAAATCTTGGGCCAAATGTGGCAGCTCAGCCTATAATCCCAGCACTTGGGAGCCTGAGGTGGAATGATTGATCGAGTCCAGGAGCTTAAGACTGGGCTGTGTAACATAGCCGGACCTCATCTCTGCAAAAAAGGTAGCTAATGTGGGGGCACATGCCTATTAATAGCTACTTAGGAGGCTGAGGCAGGAGGATCCCTTGAGGCCAGGAGTTTGAGGCTACAGTGAGCTGTGATGACATACTGCACTGTAGCCTGGGAGATAGAGTGAGACTTGTCTCAGTAAAGAAACAAAAAATTCTTGGTTCCTGATAGACTTTTTTTTGAAATAGTTTCACTTTGTTGCCGAGGCTAAGCTCACAGCAACCTCAAACTCCTGGGTTCAAGCAATCTTCCTGCCTTAGCCTCTCAAGCAGCTGGGTGGAACTACAGGCACCCACCACAATGCCCTGCTAATTTGTCTATTTTTAGTAGAGATGGGGTCTCATTTGTGCTCAGGTTGGCCTTGAACTCCTGAACTCCAGTTATTCTCCTGCCTTTGTGTCCCAGAGTGCTAGGATTATATGCGTGAGCCCCTGTACTGGCTTTTATAAGTTGCGGAGATGTCATCCTGTGGACAGACTGCCCAGTTACGGTGTTGGGGTTTGGGCATCTCTGCAGCTGGCAGAGGGGTGTCCCTTAGAAGCCTTATTTTTGTTGCTGGTGCTGTCTGTATTCCTTCTGATTTAAAATGTAAATTTGAGATTTCGTGTGAAGAATAAAATGTTAAGAGTCATGCCTATGAGACAGGCGTGGATTTTATTTTGACTACACTTATTTGAGTGTGCTTAGTCTGTTGATTTTCTTTCTTAATTTTAAAAGAAAAACAATAAATTGAAATTAAATGCCTGCAGGATTCCCAAGGCCACTCTGAGGAAACACCAGGGTCTTTGGAATATTGTTATACTGTATTAAAACACTCTCAAGTTCCAGCTGCCTGTGCGGTGCCATGACTTGGAGGAGTGTAATTACCATGCAGTTCCAGACATTGTAATTTATAACGTGATAGATTTTTGTAGCCTAGTGAGTGAAAGCATTTTTTGTTCAGAAAACATTTGTCATGTACCTACGGTGTGTCAGGTGCTTAAGCCGCACTCTCAGGGAGCTGCACTGGGGGGCAGTCAGATACATCATTTGTTAGGAGGCCCCTTTCTAGAAGGAAAGTTAGGGAAGGGAATGGGAGTGTTAGAGGAGGATTAGCCCCAAGCATGTGAGGCTGAAAGGTTTTAGTTGATTAAAAGATCAGTCCATGTCCCCAGAGAATCTAAGGGACAACCTTGGAATCTCATTATGAAGGAACTTTGCTGCATAAATTGGTTAATCAGGCAGAGGTATTTGACAAACTTAAAAATGACCATACAACATAGTCATTTCTTAAAAATGAGATGGCATATTCATTAATGTTAGGCCACTTTGCTGTCATGGCATCTCCAAACAGCATCTTATATGAAGTAGAAATTGAGTTTTCTCTCTCACGTTGGGGTGCTAGGGCCCAGAGCTGGCAGGTCCTTTTAGCCCATGGCTGCCCTTGGTGAGTCTTCGCCCTTTATTCTCTCCAGCTGTCAGGGCTTCCAGGCCGTCCAGGCTTTCCATGCATGTGGCACTCTTGCTCATGTTCCATTGCCGAGGACTGAGTCATTGTGGCCACAGCCTGCTGCTGCAGAGCCTGGGATGTGGGGTCTCCTGGTGGGTGGCCAGGTGCCTGGCTGGTCCTTCATGTCTTCACCAGGAAGAAGGTGAGGACAGGTGCAGGGGAGAGAAAGAAGTCCAGAGATGGGATGTGGGGTTTTTCCATGGCATTCTTTTTTGTAACCCCCAGTTTGAGGGGTCCACAGCCCCCTTAGAGATAGACGTCATCGTGGTTATACTGTCTGGACGTGGTAGTCACGAGGACTGCTAGTACGAGCCTTGGAGAACTTAACCTGATCTGACTAATGAGGAACCCTGGGAAGGGCAGAGAGCAACCAAATGCCTTTTAGTTGAATTTGGATCCTGGACAGGCTTTCCACCCAAGTAAATAGAGTCTCTTTTCCCCCTCCCCCTTTGTCCCCCATGGGCATATAAATCAAAGATGGATGGTGTTCGGGCCAGATTTAAAAGGGCAGAACTATGCACATTAATCATAGAGCCAGCTCTTAATTATCCAGGGAGATTTTCAATTAGTTTTCTTCAGCTCTTATTCTTGCCTTCCTTCGGTAAAGGCAGGAGGCAGTTTTTTCAGACTTCATCGTGGAAGGGTGGTTAGTGCACATCTACTCAGAGTGACTGATGATCTGCTCCATGGACACTCGCACGGGAGCAGGGGACCCCTCCAGTGCCATGGTTTGCATCGCTGGGTCCCCTCTGTGCACTGGGGCTGTGCACTAGAGCAGATACTCCAGCATCTCCCCTGCCTTCCTCCCAGGCGATAAGAAAAATATTTCCCTCATTTTGAAAATTAAAATGTCTACATTCTATGGACACTGAAAAGTGGATGTAGAAAAAGCTGATGTAATCAAGCGAGGAATGGTTTTCCAGATTGTGCTCTTTGGAATAATAAATAGGTTTGATAGGAATTTCTTGAAAATAAAACTCTTGGTCACATAACTCTGAGAATAACTAAGTTCTAGGGGAACAAAGTGTACCTCACACTGTCTCCATCTGAGGTCATTTTTGGACAATATCATAATTACAGTTTGGGATTTTTCCCAGAGGGCCAGAGGCTCCAGCAGTTGGACCCTGTCTGAGCATGGTAGGAGGCCACCTACAGCGAGTGGCGTGGGCTCTGGCACCTGTGTCCCAGGTGGGAGAAACCCAGGCATGTCCTGCTGCCAGACAAGCCTGAGTCCCACTAAAACTTAGTGAAAGTCACTGGGTTGTGTCTTCTTGCTGCTGAAATGTGTGAATTTGGGTTGGGGTGGCACTCACTGTCAAGTGGAAACACAGGGGCCATCACTCAGGGGACAAGGAGTCTCACTCCCTAGACATCTGTCCCTCCCTGTCAGTTCTGTGAGGGGCCTTCAGGAATGTCTGCTGACAAAATGTTAAGTGAGCACGCTAGTTGGGGTGGATGCCCCGACTCTTGGCTCTTGGCTTCCCGTGTGGTTGGAACTGAGCGCAGTAACTGGGCTGTTTTTCCTGTAACTTGGGCCATGTGCGGCCCTGTTTCTTCTTCCAACTTTATAATCAGTAGTAACAATTCTTGTGAATTTCTCAGAGTAAAAGTTTTTGGAGGCAGTTATTCCCTCATTAAGAATAACTTAAGGGATAAGAGAAGTAATAATTTTTATATATTATATACCAAGCCCCAAATTCTTAAGAATAAGCTCTCTCAGCTGCATTTGCCCACGTTGCGAACTTTAAAGTGCAGACTTAAAAAATCCTGGCACAGGTGTGGCCTCAAAGAGTGTTGGCTACCAGCCCTTCTCCTTTCAACCAGTAGTGTTTTGGGCCATCAGGGAGGAGCCTTATGGCAGTGGTTCTCAACCTTCCGAATGCCTGAGTGTATTTTCATTGTTGAAAAGGGGTCGTGACCCACAGGTTGAGAACTGCTGCCTTATGGCAAGACGCCCAAATACAACATATTAGGGCAGTTGAGGCAGCCCCAGGTCCCAGTGTGCACCAAGAGTTTCTGGGCTGTCTGTCCTTGGACTGAACTCCCTCCAGGGACTCCTGCTCTTTTGGACCAGCATGTCAGCCACAGGTGTGGCCCACAGGGGCTTTCTCATTGCCTGGACTCTGGTTCTTAATGGTCTTTGCTGCCTTCAGCAAAGTGGTTTTCCATGATTCTTTACTTTTTAAAGGGTCCTTTAATACATTACCTATTTTTTTTTTTTTTTTTT